ACCACATAAAAATAAAGGTATTATATCCACCTACAACTAAAAAAAAAAAAAAAGAATTTAAAGTGAGTTTATCAGGATCATAGGATATAAGAGATTAAAATACACAAATACTAACTGAATAATTGTAAAATTTCATTTGTAACAACATTAGAAAACAAAATACTGAGCAAACATCTAGCAAAAATGTATAAGACTTATAGACCAGACACTATGAAATATCACCAAGAGAAATAAGACCCAAATAAATGGAAATTTAGGGCTGGGATTGTAGCTCAGTGGCAGAGTGCTTGCTTAGCTCATGTGAGGCACTGGGTTTGATCCTTAGTACCACACAAAAATAAACAATTAATTAAATGGAAATTTAATATGCAGATACTCATGTCATGGACTGGAAAACAATCATGTCCAGGAAGCAATTCTCCAATTGATCCACAAGTCCAAGGAAATCCTTAATAAAGTCCCAGAAGGCTTTTTTGTTTAGTTTGGTAGAAACTGAGTGCTTATTCTAAAGTTTATTTAGAAACATGAAGACCTAAAATAGCTAACATAATTTTGAAAAAGGAAAATTAAAAATGATGGACTTCACAACCTGATTTTAAAACTTAAAAAATTGCATTAAGTAAGACAGTGGTATTGATTGCTCAAGGATAGGCATATGTCTATTATCAGGGGAACAAAACTGAATTCAGAAATAAAGTCTCACGTTTGTGGCCAATTTTTGATAAAGGTCCTGAAACAATAAGAAATAGTCTCTTCAAATGCTGCAGGGTCAACTGTACATTCACTAAGACCAAAATGTCCACCTGAAAGACAACATCAACAACCAAAAAAGAAACGCAGATCCTTACATCATAGTACACAAAAATTAACTCAAAACAAATCGCAGACCTATATGAAAGGCCTGAAACTAAAACTTCGAGAGTTTCCAAAAACACAATCCACGAAATAAAAATTGATGAATTAGACTTCATAAAAATAAACTCTCGCTTTTCAAAATACTATCCTTTTCCATGGCTAACACAACAAGTCGCCACTAACACACACTGACTTATAAAACACATTTATTATATTACAGTTCGGCAAGTCAAAGCCTAAAAATCAAGGTTTTGGCAGAAGTGTGTTCTTTCTGGAGGCTTCAGGGGAAAATCTAAGCATTCCATCTCAACATGTTTAAATTCAACATCTAGAAAATCCCTTTTGTGGTGTCAGGTAACAAACCCAGGGACTAGGATAAAAAGTCTTTGGTGGAGAAGGCACACTATGCTGTCTACCACCAGACACCATTAAGAAATGAAGAGAAACCACAGTTTGCAAGTTGTACACATGTAAAAACGAATTATATTGTTTATATGAAGAACTAAAACCCTAGCAACCTGATAAGCCCATCATATTTAATTTTAATGGGCAAAAATCTGAACAGATAGTTCAATGAATGTTTACAAATAATTACTAAGCACATTAGAAGAGACTTACTCTCCTTAGTTGTCAATGAAATGAAAATTAAAACCACAAAGACATACTCTTTCCACTACATCCTCTAGAATGGCTGTTGTAAAAATAGAGACAAAGTCAACCACTGGTGATGGCATGGAGCACCTGGAATGCTCATGTGCTGGTGGGAATGCACAATTGTACAGCCACTTTGTAATCAATGGGGCATCTCTCTCAAAAACTAATCAAAAATATTTAATAAAACAGTAATTCCACTCCAGGAATACACTCAAAATGCAATTATGTAGACTGTGTAGCCCATAACACCGTATCATTAACAACAGAAAGCAGAAAGCAGACGAACAGAGACGTGAAAAGCATTGGGATCAAAATCACAGAAACAGATCAGAAAGTAGGTTCAATCCTTTCTTTTTCTGATAGACACCAGGATGATTTGTTTGATTTTGGTGTTTGAAGATCGTGAGATACCGTTTCTAATTATTTGGGGTAGAGTAAAACAGAGAACTTGGGTAGTTACATAGAATATGGGATAAAATAAAAGCAGTATTGTAAAACCATTATAGTTTGCAAAAGTTTCAAGTTTGTCCTCTAAAGGTTAACGTGTTGGAAGACAGCACTCAGTTTGTCAGGAAGTGGTGGAACCTTGAAATTGGTCCTAGTGCAAGATTCTTAGGTTGTGTGTTATGTCCCCCAGAGGAACCAATGGAGCTCAGAGGATCCTTAGTTCCTGGGACAGTAAGTAGTTATAAAAAGAGCAAGGCTGGCCCTGATTCCCTCTGGCTTCCCGTCTCTATGTGGTCTTTTCCTCTTGAACCTGCCATGATGCCATCTTTGCTGCAAAAAACATCTATACTGCAACAAAGCCAAAGGCCCAAACTAGAGCCAAGCACATGTAGGGACCATGCTCTTGAACATCCAGAACTGTGAGCTAAAGTACCCAGCCTCAGGTATTTTACAGCAACAGAAACCAAACTAATCAAGTAGCAGAAACAAGTTATTACCTACAGCCATTTCAATTAGGGGTTATCAGGCTCCTGGATCGGATCTGGCCCACTGCCTTTGTAAATAAAGTTTTGATTGATATACCACATCAAACAACTGACATTCCGTTAATGGATGCTTTCACACTACCATGGCAACTTTCACAGAAACCTTTTGGCCTACAGATGCTAAGACACTATGTGGCACTTCACAAAGTTTGATGACACTCGATTCAGGTACCTACCTATAGTTATCCAATGTTCTTCATTTCTTCAACAATACAACAGAGTATATTTAGAACACCTTATGTATGTACCAATCTAAGCTGAAGAAAAATCTGAGTTCTATTAGAACTCTACAGGTACCAATTCTTTTCTTTTCCATATGAAGAATTAAATGGATACAATTTAAGTACATATTAAAGAGTCTATGAAAAGTGCAGAAGACTTTTCTAAAGTAACTCAAACTGCTTTTGGACTTCTGGTTCATAAACTCCTGAATTATAGTATCATTTATTGGAAGCCAAAAAGGCAGGCTGAGGGAAAAGCAGTTAATTTTGAGATATACTTAATACTTTTAAGCAGCAGAGAGAAACTAGTTGCTCACCTGGAGGCGTGTAGGCATCCATCGAGGTCTGTACAACCAGGGACCTGCGTTTGGAAGGCATAGGCACCGCCATCTTCCTTTCTTTGTGTTTAGCAAGAGCTGCCTGAACAGCTTCTGTGTGAACGTCTGAAACCAAGAGAAAGCCAATCACTGCACTGTCAGCCCAGGATCCCGAAGGCCAGTGCCTTCCTCCTTCCCAAGGCATAGTCTCATCTTACTGAAGTTCACCCATAGGAAGGGAAGGAAAGCAGTTAGACCTACCAGCCTGAAAGCCTCAATAAAAGTTTTTAAAATTCATTCAGACTTTAATTGTACATTTTATTATCATAGAATTGGCATAAATGATTAAACATTGGCTATAAAGTGTTCTCTGATTTTTTTCTTAAGGTGAGCAGACCTGGATCTTTGGATATTTCTCAAGGTCATGTATTGGAGCCTTATAATTCATACCAATGTATTGTTCAGGGACATACATAAGGTTGCAGCTTGTTAGTAATAAAGCCTACACTTACTGAGTATGCATTCAGTGATGGGCCAGGCACTGTACTAGGCTTTTAATGGATATTAACCTATTTTCTCAATTCACCATGTATTTATTGAATGCCTATTCTGAGGTAGAGTCCCAAAGGGTTAGGAATCCAGTAGTGATGTGACAGATGTCGGCAATATATCTCATGTAGCACCGTGACAAAAATAACAATTAGGATAGAGAATTAATATATGTAACAAATGTGCCAAGTGGCTACTTTTCTCTGAAGAGTGGGGCCAGAGGAGAGCTCCCTCCAGAAGAACACCCCCCCACCCCGGTATATGAAATTGGACTGAAAATGAATAGCCATTAGCCGTCAACATGAATGTCTTTCCCAAGGCACTGGGGAAAACTACCGAAGAGGAGTTGACTGAGGTCGGGCTTGAGGAAGATGTCTGAAAGGAGCTGTGTTGTCTGAGGGTCCTCGATGTCATTGGAAAGGTTGGAGCATAACGGTGTTTAAACTGAGCATGAGTGTGGCGCTGGCTGGGGTTGAGGGAAGGAGGATGCAGGCATTATGGCCCATGGCCATGGCCAAAATCTGGAGTTATTCAAGTAAGGTAGGGAAAGCATAGGAGGCAGGCATGAATCTACTTCCATTTTGATGGAACCATTCCCGTGGCTGTGGAGGAGACTGAAGGAGATGCTCGAAGACCAGTTGGAAGTCACTGTCCACATAACGAAGACAACCCTCAGAGTATTCTAAGCAGTTCTGAGGAGGTGGTACCCTGATTACTCCCATTTCATAAACAAGCAATCAGAGGTGTTCTGAGTCAGAAATCTCCCTATTATGAAACTGGTGAGTGGCAGGGCTAGGAATCCACTCCAGGTGTGAATACCTCCAGGGCCTCTAATACCATTATGCTCTAACCCTTCCAGTGACATCTCTGGGACCTACAGACCAACCTCAATCAACCCAGTTCTCTACCAGAGGACTATTTCCATTTTTGTGTGGCTGGGCCAGGGAAGCCTAAGAGTCACGTTCAGCCTCTAGCTCTTTCTGTAAAGAGTGGCTCAGGGGGCACAGCAACACTGCTCGTCCCTGTACAGTCCACAGGTGCTTTCATACCGTGGAAGCAGAGACCACAATTACCCACAGAGCTGAAAGCATTTGCTATCTGGTCCCTCACAGGAAACACATGGCTCCCTGGGTTTGAAAGCACTCTGCGTGCCCTACACAACCAAACCATCACGTTGTCTTATCCCCTTTAGCTTGTGTGTGCTCTAGTCTTTTCACTTCAAGGAGATTCACAGTACTTTAAGACAGGTTTTTTTGATCACTGCTTTCCTAGGTTTCTGATCAAAGACTAGTAACTGAATGACATGGATCTGTGGGCTCAAAACTGAAGAGCTGATCTATTGTGAGAAAATATTAGTTTTCCATGAATCAAACACTGTCAATTTTACATGTTCTTTTTAAACTAATATTTTTTTTGATGAATCAATACATTTTTAATTCAAATAGTCACCACATAACCTAGGCATAATATTAAGCATTTTACAAGCAGAGTGTTTTACTGATTTTCTTTTCAATTGCAAAAGGGTACAATAAGTGAATTGGTTAAAGGATATACTTCTGTACATAAAAATATCCATGTATTTATACAAGCGTATGGAACAGAGTTTAAAGGTATTGAAATCATAGCATCACAATAAATAGGATGTGTTCCTACTCCACAGCCCACTTTATCAAGAAGCTGTCAGTCTCTTTTATCAAGGTGCTTTCTGTTCTTCTGAGCTGGGTTCGTATTTTCTCCCAAACAGGTTAAATTAGTAAGAACTGGAGTTGAATGTCTACTTTTCATATGTTATTTTTTTTTTGCGTATCCAATAAACAGGGTGGAAGATATGGTAATTTATTTCCAAAATGTCATTGTGACTTCCCAATCCTATTGGTTTCATACTTCTGTATTTTTAAATGCAGATCAATCTAAGCTCTAGCACCATTCAAAAAGGAAATACATGTATTTTTTTTTTTGTCAGAGCAACAATATTTTATATCATCCTTATTCCTCTGGCTATAACAATTCTGTTTAGAAAAAATTTACCAAGCTAAAAATAGTTGATCTAGGTTGTCATAAAAAAGAATATTAAATAACTTTGGTAAAAATAGATATATTTAACAAGATTAGAAAAGGCAACAGTTATAATGTCAAAAAGAGAATATAAAAATGTACACAATAAAACAAATAAACCAACTTAAAGTGAAGATAAGGCCACTCTTCTGTTCAGGTTTGCCTCTTTCAAACCATGAATGTAGTTCTCTTCTTCTAAATGGCGGAGATTTTAATAAGAAACATGGAAAATCCAGTCTTTTCTATCAGCATGACACCAGTTTAATTCATAGCAACATAGTTCCTCTTTAAAACCCAAGTTTATAGAACATGAAACGTTCTGGTTTATATATGCAAGTATAAGGGGAAAACATTCCGGATTTTCTGTGATATTGGGCCCAGAACATGGAGCTTTAGAGTTAAGCAGAGCAACAGAATCAGGTGCTCACTTGCAGTTTTTTCTTGTCCTGACATTAACCTAAGCCATATCATGACATAGGGAATACAGACTGCAGCAAGTGGAAAAAGAACGTGGTAACTAGCTAGTGATCTACAATATTTAATTTTTTTTCCCATGATTGAAGACCTTTTCTCCTGTCCTTTGGGCTCCTCTCAAAAGCAATGTTGCACAACTCATAATTCCATTTGGTCTCCTCTTTAGAACCCACTGTAAATCCTGCAGATGGAAGATCCTTGAAGCTAACAACTGGGATTAAGGATGCAGGTAATGCATTAGTTCTCTCACGGAATCAGCCGCTGGCTGTACCTGACAGCTCTGTGAAAGGGCAGCTGGTGGTGATGTGGTTATCCTCCTGTGTTCCCTCTGCACACACAGTCACACTCCTCGTGATGCTCCAGGGCCACGTCAGTGAGTGATTTATGCAATCCCCTGACACCAATCTTTGGTCTCAATTGAAGGACCTCGTGATATTTTTTAGTGACTTTGCTTGGGACACAGTGACATTCATTGCAGTTGTGGAGACAACAGGCACAGTTTCTACCACAGCGTTTAACCAGGAGACAACCTCCTCTTTTAGAAGGTTCAGATCCACCACTCTAGATTTTCTTCCAAAAACAAAAGCTTTGCCAAGAAGTTGCCATGTTGGCCTGTATAGATCTTCTAAGTCCAGCTGCCATCTATCTGGTTCAAGATAGTGAATAAGATCCTCCAAAGTACTAAAGGCGGTTACAGCATTATTAAGCAGGTCCAGTGGCAAAGCTGAAGGGGGTAACACTGAAGGACTCACAGCTTCTGTGAGTTGTGGCATAACAATGTTGTAGTGGATGCAGAATCCGGGTTCAGAAGAAAAATACTCAGATACAAATCTTATTCTGATTTGATTTCCTTTGGAAATCTGTTTTCCTGGTACAGGACCAGAATCACACCAGCACCATAATACAGTTCCATCACTGGGTTCCTCAACTTCTACAAAATCATACTTGCAAATGTCATCTTCTGGGTCTTCCGGCCCAAATCTTTCATCAAATTTAAGTTGTATCCACACATTTTCCTCTGCTACCAATCTCCATACCAAGACCATATTTCTTGGGTAAGTATGAGGAAACCTTGGGCTGTGAATACTCCCATTTGTAGACACAGTAATAATTCTCTCATGATGGGGATTTTGTACTCCGTTCTGTTCCTTGTTGCTGGAGAACTGGAATTTACTACTCAGGTTGGACTCAGCCTGAGTCCCGTGAATCTGGCCGGCCAGGGCAGATGTCAGCAGGAGAAGCCTGAAGAGGAGCATTTGGCTGAGTAGGGCGAGAGCTCACTCATGGTGGGCACTTGGGAAACGGCGACTTCGGAGTCTTTCAGCACCTCCAGGGGAAGGCTGCTCTGGGGTGGAAGCGCGGAGCCTGCTCTGGCAGCAGAGAATCGCAGGGTAGTTTCCACATAATCCCATCCAAAACTTTTTCCTAGAGCCCTCTTCTGTGTCTCCAGTTTTTGAAAAGGATCAAAGCAAAACCTGGACCTGAACCAGTTTCCCAAGGTTTAAACAAATCCTGAGCTGTGCCGAAGTGGTGGGGGTGGGGGTGAAGGCAAGGGAGGAAAGAGGGGGTGGGGACGCGGGGGAGCCGGGGGAGCGGCAAGAAGTCATCAGCAAGTTGCTGGGAGCACCTGTCAGTTGGGGGGCCTGGACAGAGGCAAAAACTCAAGGGTCGCGCCAAGTCAGTCTGGAAGCCAGTTCCCCGCAGCCAGCAGTTTCTGATCAATAACCAATATTTTCAAACTTAGAGAAAAATCTACAAGAATAAAGAATTCCCTTTTAAGCTTACACCCAGCTTCACCCAGTGTCCACATGTCACCCCACTGCTTTCTCCGGCCCCCTCCACCCTCTCCAGGCGTTGTTCTCTGAACCACTGCTACTAAGCCATGCAGTTCCTAAAAACAAAGAAATCCCCTTACGTTACAAAAACTTTCCTCAAAATCTGGAAATTTAACAATCTCCTTCTATTATCTAATCCAAAACCCACATTCAATTAATGTCAATTACCCCAGTAATTTCCTTGATGGTTACTTGGTCTTCCTAGTTTGTGATCTAACCCAGGATGAGATGGATTGCATTTGTCACATTATCCCTCCTTAATCCTAAGTTTCTCAAATTTTCTAGAAATTGGAAGTTTTGAATAGTACAGGTCAGTTGTTTTGTAGCCCATCCTTCAATATGGTATTTGGTTTCTTTCCAATGTCCTTGTAATCAGATTTGGATGAGGCATCTCATCAGGGACATGGCAGACAACTGTCCTCTACAGGTGACAAACTTTGATCACTGGTAAAGGTGGTGTCTACCAAGTTCTTCCAGGGTAAAGATGCTACTTTTCCACTGTAATTAAGAAGTAATTTGGAAGGAGATACTTGGACACCATGAAATTTTTAAATAATCTTTGGTTTAACTTCTCTACCTCTCTGGACAAAGGCAAGAGGATACATAAGCAAAATAAAACGGACCGCAACTTGGAAGAAATGTTTATATGCTTCTTGCTGCAAAAATTTGTCTTTAGGCACTCCTACTTTCAGGGCTTCCTCAAAAGGCTTGGTGTGTACTTATATATCATAAATAATGTTATTAACAAACTATGATACTTTTCTACTCCAAATCTTTCAAGATCCATGAGAGGTGAAAGCTGAGCAATGCATAAACTAATGCAGTAATTAGACAAAATCTTTTAAAACAGGCAAGTGTATATTCTATTTTTACCATAAAACAGTACCACAATATACATTGAAATCATCTATAAATAGCATCTTAAAGATTCTATCAGATTCTATATTGAATAATAACGTAAAGGAAAATGACAGAATAACCCATCCACAAATGGCATTCTAGGGTCTGATTCCTGCAGACCCTCAGGCAGCAAAACAGCCAATTAAGACGAGGTGAAGACGTGGGTAACAACTGCCCCAAAGCTGAAGATCAGCCTCTTGGCTCCAACCTTCATCGACAGAACTGTGTCTAATTCAGCATTTACTTCCATGTGCTAAGCTGATGTAGGGCTTAACAATCCCAGTTCAACCCAAAATATCCATGCCAAATAAGAACGTTAGCCTACCAACGCTTTAAAAGTGATTAGATGACAGAATAATCTCTGTGAAAAGATGTTTTGAAACATGATCACTGGCGGGGGAAGGAGCCCAACCCCGGCATCTGGTGACACTTCTGATCCTTCCAAGCTTTGCTCCTTCCTCCTTTTGCTCTCCTTAAATCTGGGTGCACTTCCAGCTCCCAAATTGCAAGAAAACAGAATTGTTACTGGTGAAGCTTCAACAAAGTCCAGCTTATAAGATGCAGGTCTAATAGCCAGAGGGCCAATCCTGCAGAGGGGTCCAGGGCAGAGGAAGACGTGCTACAGTGTAAAGGGACACCATGAGGTCTATTTTCTGCAGGCACTAACACCAGTGGATGACGGGAAGGCACCAGCCAGTTGGAGTACCCAGGACGCAGGAAAGGGGCAGTATGGGACAAGCAACAAATGAGATTGGATATTAAAGAAAAAGTTTATGGTTCGTTGTTCCAAAACCAGATGAATCCTAAAAGAGCTCCTAAGATCAAGAACTTTACAGAAAGCACAGCAAAATGAGTAAATAGGTTGCTATAAATCTTCCCTTTGTTTTCATAAAATGAGTCTATGAATGAAATTCAGCAGCTGTGATGCATCAGAAACCCATTAAAGGACTTAATTAGTGTCCCACAAAATCTTAATTATAAATGTTCTGTACAGGTTTTTCCCATCCAAGTCAATTACAACCAGATGAGGGGCCGAGGAAGGAGAAGGGAGGAACAGAACTCAGTTTTGAGCAGCAGCCTAGCCAGATGATGGGAGCTGACTGCAGGGTCCTCTGTGTCCATGAGGCGTTTGCAAGATTTGTGGGCACACTAGATGTAAGTGTTGTGTACTCCTGTGCCTGTCTGAAACACAAACCTAAAGAGAACTTGCCTCAGGGAAATAATCTGGCTCCAGAGCTGTACATTTAGTCTTCTAAACAGACTTATTTTCTAGCATTTCTAAGCATCAACACAGGGGAATAGTAGTGGACAAAGATGTTTCAGCCTGTGAACAGGCTAGGATCAGGAGCTTACACTCCCCACAGAAATGGAAAATGATTTTCATTCAGGATCCCAGGGTGGTGTTAATATATTACCAAAGCACAGAAAAACAGCAAACATGCACCCCAGGAAACAGGACAGGAAAAAGGGAAGTGGGCAGAACGGCTGGACCACGGACTGTTAGGAGACCTTAGCAAGGGTGAAGGCCTGAGGGCCCGGAGATGAAGCCTTTGGCAATGTGGTAATATAGTGCTCTGGGATGATGTGCTGCCCTCCGGGGGCAAGGAGGGAGTCTCTGGGGAGCATCCTGCAAAGCTGTGCGGGTACCTGCTGGCTGCCATATGGTATAGGGCCTAGACAAGCTGGGCACACAGCAGGCCCAAGTGAAGCTGCAGCTCCTGAAACACTTCCATCAACAGCTGAACACAACATGTAAAGGGCTCAGATCCACAGCTTCCAGAGAAGGCAGTGAAGGATGATGAACTTGGAGCTGAGAGGCGATCAATTTGAGGTAGCTCACTTGGTGATACGAGGTGAATTCTCCTTGTCTGTCCGTCTTTGCTCTACCAATTTATGGTTTACTCATGTTGGGCCTTTAATTCTAATAAACCAAAAGCATTATTCTATGAAGAGAAATGATTTAAGATGAGCTTCATGCAGCACTAAATAAGCAGATCACTATCATCTTTGAATAATTTGTTGAGAATTTCTTATGTTTATGGAATAATTTGTTGAGAACTTATGTTTATAACATTAGATAAATTGTGCTAATAGGTATTTTCTGAGAATTTTTAAAAAATCCTAAAAATGGCAATAAACCACTTAGCATGTCATACAGTGCTGGAGAAAAAAAAATGACTTTTTCTTCAAAGAGAATATAAAAGCTTAATTCCACAGCCCAAGCATTAAGCAGCCACTCCTTAAATGTCTTCATTTTCTGCAAACACCTGTTCCTAAAATAATCACTGCAGGCATCTAGTTTAGAAATTCAGTCTTCCCTCCGCCATCTAGGTTCAAAAAGAAATCTTACCCCATTCTTTGACTTTGGAAAATTTTACCACCTACTGCCCCTCGAAGTCCCTTTATTTACAAGGACTGAGATTCTGCATTACTGATAGGAAACTAAGATTTAGCACTCGATGTGTCCATCTTTCTAGGAAGCAATGGGCTGCTGGACTGTCTTGCTGTGGAAACAGAATCCTGGCTCTGCCAACCCACATCAACACTAAATTTTTAGTTCTTCTAAGTCACACTTTCCTAGTTTGTAAAACAGGAGCATTTAGATTTGCTGTAATAATTACATGAGATAAAGGGCACTGGCAACCTGCTGGGTACCTGTCACACAGCAGGCGCTCAATACTGGTAGTTGCTCTCATTAATATTTTGAGGCAATGGCTTCTAATGAGTGTGCAAAACTGAAGAATCCCAAAGGGGTTATACTGTTGACTGATTCCATGTTTTTCTCACGCACTCACTGTGAATTCTTAGAACGGCACTATCCTGGAGCAACATAACCTGCGGTCACCCAGGTAAATTAACACAGGTTTTCCTGAAGAGCCACAGACAACAGACCATAAGGAGAACTAGGAAGAGGGTGGGCAATGACATGGGACCCTTGGCGTATGCCACATAGGAGCTAGCCAATAAGACCCGGTCATGGCAGCCTCTGCTGTAGTGCCCTGAAGGCACCACCCATCCACCTCCCAGTGTTCTTCCCTCTTCAGGTTTCAACTCATCAGAAACCTAAATGAGGGTCAATGAAGTTGTTAGAAAATCCACTTTTCCTTTTGCACCTCTACTTTTAAAACAGAATGCAGCTTGTTTCACTCTGCAAGAAACTAGTATTCCAAAGTATGAGTAATGGAGTATTTGAGACAAAAACAATTTAGAAGATCTTTGACCTTGGAGAAAAAGGTGTGGTCTAAACCATTGCCTCTTACACTGGCTGCCACTATTGCTATTATAAATAGTCTAGAATAATACACATATCTGAGTCAAAAGTTGATACCTCTCTCTCCGTAAGTTATAGTCACAATCCATTTCCAGGAGCTGTTGAGTTCACGACTCTATACAGATAATTAGAATATATATCTAAACAGAACAGGTGGCAAACTTCAGTCAATTAACAGAAGAGATTGTTTCTCCAATGAAGGAACTTAGCTTCCTTATAGTAAAGCATTTAAACCACCAAGTTCTAGAGCCGGAGCACATGGGTTCAAATTCCAGATCCTCTATGCGACCTTGGGCAAGTTACTTAATCTCTCTGAGCCTCAGTTCTCTCAGGTGTAAGTTAGGAAATAAAAGTACTTTACCTAGGGGAAGCTATGAGGATTAAATGAGTTAATACATTGACGAGTTTAAAGGAAGATCCTGGCAGGTGGTAATTTAAATACTGCACTGGTTAGACTTGAATGTGCTAATTAATGTAACTCAAGTCCAAGAGAATGTTAAAAAAAAAAAAAAAAGACGCCTTCATCTGCAGTTTCCCA